CGACCGACGGTCGGGTTCCGTTCGTGCTCTAATTCGCATAACGGCTGATGGAACGCCAGGGAGGGATTTAGGGATACCCAACGCGTCCTTAAATATTATTAAGATTTTTGTACTTGTATTATGTATGAATGAGACTAAAAACATCGTCTGAACTGCGATATATCTATTCTGAAAGTATTATATAAGAATTATAATCTTTCAATTACATTTATAACATTAAATAGTTAACATCCAATCCAATCATGTATATAGATTATCATAAATACTACGATGTCTTTTGTAAACTTATTTCATTTATTGGTATTCTTAAGAGGTAAGTAGTATAATGCCTATTATTTCAATATTCTACTGAATGTCCAAAAAATAAAAACATAATATTTCTTAAATAAATGATATTTAGAAATATAAGCAAACAGATTTTCTTTAAATCAATTTAACACTTTTCTAAAAGAAAATACAAATAAAGAATGCGAATCAAAAAAGTTTATCCTAAGTGCGTCTCTGTTTAGTACTTTAGTACGAATACTTATTTTATTGCTATTGCAAAAAAAAAGTGTAAATTGTCTAATCCAATTTAAAATCGTTCAATTGAAATGCTCTATTGCGTTCCGGTTTTGAGAGGTCATTAACATGCAACTCACGAATTCATTAAAACAATACGTTTAATAACAACGACCTAAATAATACTGCCCAGTCATGTCACTTTTTTGTGTATCTAAAACGATGTTATTATTAGACGAAGCCAAAAGAAGAAAAAAAGTTATTATACTACTTTACAATAAAAGGAATTTAAATAAACCTTGTAAAAGCTATTAATGAATATTTTCAAGGCGTAACTGTTAAGGGACATGGCTTATGTACTATAGAATATTATTTTTATACACTATCTATGATTGGTCGCTTATGGCACAGATAGAAAAAAACTAGAAATATATAATTGTACATTAGTATATGAATACAACTCAAAACAAACAGGTATACCATTACATATGTAAATCTAAAGCGCGTTGAAATCTTTTATATATGAGACAAGGTAATTTTTATATTATGTTTTAAAAGGACATTTGTATAAGTAATTAACATGAAGAAGTATGAATTGTTTGTGTCTAATTTAGAGTTATGTTTGTACATTTGTATTTTGTGTTTGTACTTATTTTTATATTAACCAAAAAATATTTTATATATTTTAATTATTGTTATTAACAATTAATTAAAATGGTAGATGGTAGAAAATAAATTATTATATTATATATTTAATATATGTTATAAAAGAAGTACACGATAATTACAAAAGGTATCTATGTTATAAAAGAAGTACACGGTAATTACAATAATAGCGAAATAATTTTTTTATGAGAAAGACATATTAATGAGAAATTGTTTTGATTATGTAAATAGGCAGTAGAGAGAATATATTATATAATGAGACAAGTGCAAGTTATTTTAGTAAATACGTGATCATACATTACAATACAAAAAAAAATGTAAATGAAACTCTTATAAATAAATACCCCAAGTAAATTATGTTTCTTTTTCTAGGATTTTAGTCAATAAAAAAGTTATAATAAGACAACACGTGATATCTTAACACTTTTGTAAGTAAGTACTTTAGTAAGTAAGATAGATAAGATATATTACATTTGGTGTAAACTATACAATAATCAGTAAAAAAGATCTCATAAATGTAAAAACCTGTAAAAACAAATCTAAATAAATCTCTGTCGTGTCTTTCAGAAATGTTGCAATAGTGTTTAAACTCGAATGCTTTAATCACTTTAAGTATAATAATTAAAGTGTACATTAGGTATGCGTCGTAGTAGGTTATGATAAACCGAGTTGGCGGATTTCCGTAGCGAGTGTAGCAAGGCTGAGGCAATGCAAATTTGTATAATTAACAACTATGCAAGGAATTTAGGAAATAGAGCGTGAAATTAAAATGTTAAGTGGCAATGACCGAGAGTCCAGACTAGTGGGAAATTTTATGATTTCAACCGACTTCAAAATGGAGAAGGGTCCCAATTTGCTTGTATTTTTGTGTATATATGAATGTATCTGTTATTTTTGACTATTTTATTTTTGCAATTAAATAATATAATAATTTCATTATAATTGTATTCTCTAGTTTTTTGACACTATTTTATTTTATTTGTGTATCTCCAGTCACACAGTCCAGTTCAGTCATTTCTCCAGGAGAGTGAGAATTCTATTGTAGCTCTACTTAGTGTTTATATACTGCTAAAATTTGATAGTATTTCCTATTTATAATAATCAGCAGACTCTCGGAGTGATTGTTAGATCTAAAGAAAGGCTAAAGCAAAATCCCTATACATAATTTCATCACATTTGTTTATCTGGCTATGTAACATAATTTTTTTTACCCTAAGTTAAATATTCGTTATAAGATAGTATTATCTTTTATTGTAAAGTAGAAAAAAGGAATTAATAGCATTTCTATTAAATATTATGAAAAAGGTCTGTTTGTTCATTTAGATTTTTTTTCTGGTGTATAATTTACATAATTCTTTTTATTTATTACATTTTATTGATTTTAGTTCTTGTTTACTATACCGTTATTTTGAAAAAGTATGTCATGATTTTTTTTGCTAAATATGCCAAATATATTCGTTCTGTAGCTAATGAACTTTATTTTTTCGCTTCGTTCTTCACTCTTTTCGAGTTCTTGTTCTTTTGTATAATTTACGCCAGTTTGAATCAAATGAGGAAAGAAAACGTAAGTAGGTATGAGCATATCTTGATGGTCTCCTGGGCAATTAGCAAATGTATTTTGACTCTCTTTGTAATCACATTTTAGAATTACATTCTAGAAATTAGAATGAGGCTTTTAATTCCGTTATTTTATATGTTTGATACCTCATAACTCCGTTAGTTTTATTTATTTCAGTTTAGTTTTATTTTAAACTGATTTAGGAAATTGTTTTTCTTTAATCTGAAAGGATGTGGTTACAGATTGATCTTATAGATATTTTATCAAAATCGAATCTGTAGTTTAATTATTAAATCAAATTAACTGGTTATGTCACAATTGAAGTCGGTTTTTCGTGGAATACAATCTTTAATTATGTTTTGTAATAATATGGATTAATATTAAAATTATATAGTAAAGGTTACGTAAGAGACTGCCCTAAACGTTTTGCTTTAAATAACATTACTGCGCGATGATCTCAGCGTTTACCTTATAATCTTACTCGTAAAATGCTAGCTCAGAATTTGAAGGTTTAACTTAACAGATAGCATGAAATTTTACATGTGTCCATGTGACGTAATAATATATAAAAAGGAGGATAAGTTTGGCATCTTTATTTTCTTAATGCTGCATAAAGAAAATAAAATGAAACACAAAATAACTACTCTGGTTATAGTTAGAAGCATAAATATTTTTTCTAAGAGAATAAAAATTCTCCTAGTTAGGTATAGTGGAGTATGACTGTTTGTTAACAAAGCCGCGGTTGGGCGGGCGCACGAGTGCCCGTCACGACACACGCCTGGCCAACTTTTGTTTTCAACAGAGCCCCAGTTGTTCACACGCCAGTTAACTATCAATAGAACTGTGACAGGTTGTGCATTCACGTTAACTATTATAAAGTATAATTTGTTGCTATTTATATACACTACATATTAGTCATATTGTCTTCAAAGTAGGATTTCGAGAAAGGATGAACTTTAGATGCATTAACTGCAGATTCCTAACAATTAATTTTTTACGTTAAGTCGTCTGGTTATGTCAATCAAGAGTCAGGATTTGTGAATAATATATTATACACACACTTCTTGATTATATGCTGATGTATGTAATCACGATAATTTAAAAAAAAATATAGTAACTTACGAATTCTGAGTACACTTATTAATTCGTCTAAGAATTTGTAACGAAATTCGACAAAGAGGTAAATGTTTATAATTTCATCATTTCCGTTCGTATATTTCTATGTCATAAGCATAATTCTGTCATATTTCCTTTGGCTGAAATACAGTTCCACAGGAAGGTGTTATAATTGTATTGAACTACCATCACAGGGTTGTGTAACAAATTTTGTTAAGCAATAGGTATAGGCGTACTTATTAAATGTAACAACCTATCATTAAAAGGCAACTTAAGGCGGTCGTTCGCGACATTTATTATTATTAAATAGTTTATTCATTTAATTTATTAATAATTTGTTTTATTAATTTATCTATTAATAATTTTTCTCTCAGATTTTAATTTGTTTTCATTAAGATACATAAGCTGATGTTTTTTGTATCTATACAAAGATTGTTGACTTCATTAACTTTATCTTGCTTTGCACGCAAAAAAATAGATTAATTATTACTTTATTAGTATATTTATATTACATCATTCTTGTCTTGTAGTTTATTTACCTATATAGGTTTAATTCAACTTTTATTACTTTTTCTTACATTTTTAATTTAGGTATTTTAAAAACATAACAAACTTAAAAATATTGTTGATATCTTTAAGTTAATAGTAATAACAAAGACTTTGATTTATAGGTCTTCTATCTGATCTAAGATATCATTCATTGATCGTTATCTATTATTGTATTATGTTTACATTGACTTTAGTTATTAGAAAAGACTTATTGCTATGCAATTGACTGTAGACTTGTAGTGCTACAGAGGTCAGGTGTCCCGTAGCGTTCTACATTTAGCATGTTGGGCAAGGCGAGGTATTTGAAAACAAAGTGTTCGCAACCGCCTCCCAATATCAGATAGAAGAACAATAAATTAGATTATAGTAATAGGAAACCGATACACACGAGTTTATTAATTGAATGAAACCGTAAAAATAGCGTGTAAGTACTATTATATCATATCTTTTTTGCTTTTAACTTAAGATTTTTTAACTGCTATTATCACCAGTTTTCTTTTTTTTTTTAAATAGAGATCTTTATTTTTTATTTTTATTACATTACTAAATATATTTGCCACTGTTACGGTTGCATTCCTGATAGAAAACTTTGATAGAAAAAAGTACTTACCATAAATTTCATTTTGAAAAGAGGTTAGCACAGTAATGAAAGAAATAGAAAGAATGAAAAAAAGATTTTTTTTAGATCGTATTTATAGCGCTGATGGAAGATTTAGTATCTTCCAGGAATCGCTATATTGAAGTGCAACTTGCGTCTGTGCGAAATGAGGGCGGGAGCGGGCTTTTATACGTCGACGCGTGCGCAGAGGGGGTGTTTGGTGTGGCGCGGCGCCGCAGTGGTGAAAGTATTGGGACATGCCATTGATAATAGCCGAATATCATATACACTTCAATGGCGATCGGTATGGCAGTATGTGACGTACGTGCGTCTCATATTAGAATTTGCACGTGTAAAGTTTAGCTTTGTTCCCGCGCTCATGCCTTTATTTTTTCGTTTTGATTTATGGTGCTTATTAACTAATTAATTGATATCTAATCTAACGCACATGTTCAACAGTACGTGTTAATTGTATCGTAAATCAATGCTGGGTGTTAATTTTACGTCGTGTCAATGATAACATTAAATTTGTGGTAGATACCATTTGTTTGCATTTTAGATTAGTAGCGTATAAAATATTAGGCCATTTAATTATTGATATGTTAATTGTTAATTAAATGTGCGAATGTGATTTGTATTGTGGTTAGTGCTTTAATATGTGTAAATGTATGTACTAATAAATCACGTTGTGCAAATGGTATTGAAATGATATACATAATGATGTAAATTAGGTACATGCGGTGATTGAAAATATGATAAGAATCTCTGCAAACATTTATTTAATTAAATAATACATTCGGCAAAATTATAATAATAAACAAAATACTGCTCTCAGCTGTAAACTTTAATTTGTGTATATTAATATATGTATAGATATGTACACCGTAAAACTGTAAAACGTTTTAAGCTTTATATATCTTAACTCCACACAATAGAGTCATTATAATATAATAAAATATTGAGAATGGATCTCTTTATTCTAAACTTCGTTACAGTTATGTAATTTGCTAAGCCACTATAATGGTATTCCTAAAGGCGGGTCCGCGTTCAGATGAAATACATTTCATGTAAATTATGGTTTGTAATGTAATATATAAATTACGAAATCGAAATAGGCACAAGAGTTCGGAAAGTATAAGTCACTTATAGTTTTATTTTGATTATTAGACAGATTCAGAATTCGAAGTCACGAATCTATTGTAACTCGGAATTGTAACAGTGTGGGCACACCTATATTAGCCACCTGTCGAAATTCTTTATAGCATTAAGTTTTTACATTTTTATATTAAGATATGTACCTAATAAAAAATCTAAATTCTCTTTTGTTGCCCCAATGAAATATATATTATTAGCCAGAGGAGATAAGCATTAAATAAATAGTATCCAAGGTAAATCGAGATTCTTTAAAAAATCAAGCTTGAAATGACAGGATATCAAGTTATTTCATTGCGTTTTGATCTCGAACTCGATTTGTAATTCTACTTTTAAAGTAAGAAATTAAATTAAAAATTTCAATCAATCAATCTTAAACTTTTTAGGACCGGTTACATCAAATTGGATGTTAGACTCGGTAATATTGAACAAGAACGTACTTATATCGATATCAATCCGATATCTATATATTGGATTCTTCTAGACATTAATGGCGGGAAAAAAGTCATCTATATCGCCTATATTGGTTGGAAATCTATTTTTTTTTCGAATATGTTAATGAAAAGTCAGTTATCTAATATTATTTTTTAAATAATAGATTTTTAAAATATTCGTTATTGGACCAGTATATAGATGTTGTAACTAAAATATATAGATATGCTATATAATATATTACCCACCACTACAGGAACGTGATTCTTATCTGAATATTATGATATGTGTATAAATAAAATATATTTTGCATAGAGATTTAAAAAAATATCGGCTCACTTTCTCAATTTAGGAATGAAATTTGGATGTTGTCAAGATGAATTTCTGTCTTATTCACAGCAACAGCAGTAGGTACCAGAGGGAGACTTTGTACAAAAGTCGATTGCTTGGGTACCTCTGTCCCATTCGTGTTTTAACCGTGAAGCAGTTGTGTTTGCATGGCTGTGTTTCAGTTTGAAGGGTGGGATATGGCGTGAATTTACTGGGTACAGAGGAATAACACATGAGTCCTCAGGAATGGCAATGCATGGGGAGTATCATGGGCGAAACAGTATACTCTCTTATGTCCATGGTACTGCTCATGTCTATAGGCGACGGTTACCACTTTCCATAAGGTGGGCCGTCAGCTTGTTTGCCATTCTAAGTTGTATAAAAATAAAAGTAGGTCCTCTACCCCGTAACAATCTACATATGTTTCTGTTTGAAAAGTGATATTAAAATGACTGATTACGGAGGTACGATGTTTCAGTCTTTAGGCCTCAGTAAGGGTGTCGTATAGAGTAGGTATGTTTATCATGGACATTGTTGTACTTACAATCTATATAAGCTATGGTTATTCTATGGTTGTTTTATGCGCATGTTTTCATGAAGCACTTTTATATTAGTTAACGATGTTTATATTATGTTTGTTTTGTAAAATTGGCTCTCTGATCTATATTTGTAAAACATTATGTCTTGGAATCCCCTAATGGACTCCCGCGATACAGGTTCACCTAGTGCGGGGTCCAATGTACTCATGTTGTAGATTTCTTGTGGTTAATATATAAATAAATAAATGAAAAATTATTCAACAAATAAATCGTCAGAGTTGAGTCCATCAAATGTTTTAAACTTGATATTGATAATTATTGCAACAAGAAATCAATTTGAGGAAATCCGTTGACATTATGATAAGTCTGATGTAGTTATTTAAACTATTTCGTAATATATTCTTATTTAATATATAATTGAAGTTGGAACTTATATTTAATTTATGCGTGGGATTTTTATGTAGTCCTTTTGATCAGTGATAATCATCAATTTAATGTTAATAGACTTAATTACTTTAATAGATTAAGAACCGACAATTACCAGATTATCGTATTTTAGAATATCATATAATTATAATACATTTAGTTAAAAGAGATATTGAAAATGTGAAAACTTTTTGTTACGAAATTATGAATGGTAAGAAAGTCTCAAGAACAAATGCAGCTAAGTAACATTATTGGTTTTATTTTTTCACGGTAAAATTCTTTAGAAAGGTTCTAGTAGCATCGCGACATCGGTAGGCCTTTTTTAATTCTGTTGGTGCTGTGCGTGTAAATTTACACGTTACTTTAGTAGTAAGGAGCCGATGAACCGTTCAAATTATTGTTTATTTATTTAATGCACCTCTTTATTGCACCAGAAACATAAAAATATACAATGGCAATTAAATAATTTAAGTGAAATACAGTAACATAAATTGCAGATTAAAATGTATACCTACATAAAGGTATAAAAGACGGTTTTATCGCTTATTTAATTATTTGTACTTATATTCGTCTAAGTAGTATAAAAGGTACCACGCAAAATTTGTATATACTTATTTTGAAGTGTAATTTTTTGATCGTTTATGTGGCAATATATACATATAGGGGATATAATTTTGGCAATGGACAATAAACTGCTAGAAATCTAATAATATTTAGTTAGCTTAATAGCTAACTCTAATGAGTTACATTTTTGTCGTAATAATTGAACTCGTTCATGCCTTTTTAAGTTTTACTTTAATATATTACAGTTTGTAGCAAATTATACATATAAAAAAAGCATGTCTTAGTGTTTGTGATTCCGAAAAAGACCGATTTTTATGTATTTGGTAGATATGTGAATAGATGTGACAGATATGTATGTATGTATAGGAGATTAGGTCGCAAATATATTTCATACCGCTAGATGATTAGCGTGTCCTTATCCAAAAAAAAAAAAAAATATATAGCAAAACAACGATTGCTGTGATAGCTTGTATATTTATATTTCCTTACAGTTTGGTATTGTAGCCTTTTATTTTAGGATAAACTGTTTCAATGAGACTCATTCATATTCTCGGCAACCAGTTACTGTTACATGTTTATTTTTTTCCTCGTCACGTAGGTACTCTAAAAAAATGCCACGAAATACGTTTAGAAACAGATTTTTTTTTGGTGAAGGATATTTATAATATACTAGCTGCCTGGCTCAACCTTGCATGGGTTATAATTATTGTAGGAATTATTTTTGTAAATAAAATACAGTCGCTGCTAAAATTTTTTGAGTTATGTTTAAAGCGATTAAGTTTTTTTTTTATTTATTCATATATGGTACATCCAATAATATCATTAAGAGGAAAAATTTGATTCTTTATTTGTTTGTAATGAATAAACTCATAGGAGTTTACTCATTATGAACTGATTTACTACTTAATTACTTTAGTCCCAACCATCTGGATGAGTGGCCATCTTCCACCGTGCCTTATTCAAGGCACTTTTTTCCATGCACAACCACTCTTACGAAGCAACTTCCAGCAGCAGTATTTCCGAAACGATACGATATAACTTTCAAGAAAAGCGCATATTCCTTTTTAAAAAGCCAGCAGCATACCTGCAATGCTTCTGGTGTTCAGTGTGTATCAGGTGAGCTGCATACTCGTTTGCCCCCTGTGTTATAAAAAAAAAGATTTTAAAAATTCGTCTGCCTATGGAAAGCTATATTATCAGCCAAAACATAATTATATATATTATTTTTAAAATTTTTGTCTACACGTGAGAACCCAGGCTGGATTGCTGGTTACAAATAAATTTAATTTTTCATATTTATATTATTACTAGAGATGTAACATTAGATAAATTGAAACTGATTCGACTTTTCTGTCCTTCATTTTCTTGGTGACAAGGGTACAATGCATTCTAAGCTGCTTTATTCAATTGTTTTATTGCTAGCTTTGTTATAAAGAAAGACGATATACCATATCACCTCTTAAAACGTCATCAAAGCCTAACTGCGGTTACCAAGCGTGGTTATTACTGACAAAGTCCCTTCTTATGGGGGAGGCCTATGTTAAGCAGTGGACAGTTAATAGTTGATACGATTAGACAATTATCTCTAACGCATTTATAACATTAGTAGAACATATTGAACTAAAAATATGTCCTACCAATATTTTACTAAGTTTAGATGTTTAGATTTTGTTCCTAAATTGCGCTTAAACGATGGTTTAAATTAAAATCTAGTATACAGATATCATAAACT